TAGTTTTCCTTAGGTTTTTTGTTTATTTTTGTCCTTGTCTCGTGTTACGTTTTTCTTTTCTTTCTTTTTTTTTTTGTTCCATAAAGTCATTTGACTTTTATGTTGAGCAGTTTTTTCTTTTGTGATTCCTGGATTAACAGTCATCATTAGGGATTTTCTACCCCCCAAAATTGTTCTGTTTAGTCTTCTAGAATGTGATTTTATTTTTTACATTTAGATCTCAAACGTTTTAAGTTTGTCCCGCTCTGTGGTGTGAGATATAGATCTGTCTTTTCCCAGAGGGCCATCTAGCTATCCCAGTGACATTTGTATCTAGCTTTTCCTCACTCGTTTAAACGATGTCGCTTGTATTCAGATACGAACGTGACTCTGTTTGTCATTCTTCCTACCACACACTTTTTCTAGGTCTTGTTCAGTTTAAGCTTGGACATCTTTCTGGGCTCTCCCAGGGCCCTGCTCCTCCTACCCACTTCTGTGTTTATGTTAGATTGTGGGCAATATTGCCCTGCTTTTTTTTTTGTAATCTAATACTGTCTTACCCTCTATCTTCAGAATTTGTATAAAGTTAGTCATCCCTTATAGCACTTTTCCTTTTTGTTTTTAATAGCATTTTTCTTAAGCTCTAACAGTATGCATAAGAGTTAGTTTACAAAATTATTTTCCATGTCTTGATTCTGAACCCTCACCTTGATTAGAAATATGCCATTCCAGGCATCAGTGTCATTCAGAGATGTGACTGTGGAGTTCACTCAGGAGGAGTGGCGGCAGATGGACCCTGCTCAGAGGACCCTGTACAGAGACGTGATGCTGGAGAACTACAGCCACCTCGTCTCAGTGGGTGAGCAGACCTTCCCATGTGACTCGCTCGAGAATGCAGTTCTGTTTTTTCTTTTTTAAAGCATTAATCATTTTTGTTGGTATATATTAAGTGGGAAATAAAATTCAGCACTTTTTAGTGTATAAGTTAATAACTTTAAAAAAAGTTACACGGTAGATTACCATCATTAAAATCCTGATTTGGAATATTTTCATCATCCGCCCAAAATTCCTTGTACCCCTTTGCGATGAGTCCCCTCTTCTCATCCCTACTTCTCAGACCGTAGTAATCACTGACCTGCTTTCTGTTTCAGTAGTTTTTCATTTTCTCAAACTTCATATAAATGGATTTATAAAGTATATACTGTCTTTTGTCTGGCTTCTTTCATTTAGCATAATGCTTTTGAGACTCGTGTGTGTGTGTGTGTGTGTGTGTGTGTGTGTGTAAGTATGTGTCTGTGTATCACTAGTTTATTCTTTGTATCCTGAGCAGTATTCCTTTGTGTGCATGTACCACAGTTATCCTTTCGGTTGACAGACACATGGATGTTTTTCTAGTTTGCGGCTATTATGAATAAAGCCACGACGAACATTCACATACAAGTCTTTGTGTCACCATGTTTTCATTTCTTGTGTAAATACCTAAGAGTGGGCTTGCTGGGTCCTTTGATAAGTTTATGTGTAACTTTAAAAGCAGCTGCCAGGTGTTTCCAAGTTGGGTCTACTGTTTTTCCTGCCTATAAACTATGTCTGAGAGTTTTCGTTGCTCTTTATTAACCAACGTTTGGTTTGGTAAGACTTATTATTTTTAAACATTTTAATTAATGTCGAGTTATATCTTACTGGGTTTTTATTTGCATTTCTCTGGTAACTAACAGTGTTGAACCTCTTTTCATGTGCTTTTTACCCATTCATAATCTCCTTTAATCAAGTGCCTCATCAAACCTTTTGTCCATGTTTTTGTTTAGTTTAGGTTTTTTGTTTTGGTTTTATTATTGAGTTGAAGGAGTTCAGACCTTTATCAGAATATGTTTTACAAACATTTTTCCTCCATCTCTGGCTTGCCTTTTTAAGAAGAAAATGTTTTCAGATTGTTTTTGGTTTTGTTTTTAATTTTGCCATTTACAGGATGTTGTATAAATGGAATCATAGAGTATCTAAGGTGTTGAGGTTGAGATCCACCCAAGTTGTGGTGTGTATCAATAGTTTATTTCTTTTTTTACTACATGGCATTCCGCTCTGTGAACGTATCATAGTTTGTTTAGCTATTCACCTATTAAAGGACATTTTGGTTGTTAATAATTTGGGGCTATTATAAATAAAGATGCTACAAACATTCATGTTCAGATTTTTATGTGAACATAGATTATTATTTCTCTGGGATAAATGCCCAGGAGTGTAATTGGAGTTGTGTGGTAAACGTATGTTTTGTTCTTCAAGAAACTGCCAAACTCTGTCATCAAAAAGACCACAAATAACAAATATTGGTGAGGATGTGGAGAAAAGAGACCCTTTGTACACTGTAAATTTGTGCAATCACTGTGGAAAACAGTATGGAGTTTCCTCAAAAAAGTAAAAATAGAATCACCATATTATCTAGCAGTTCCACTCCTGCGTATATATCCAAAGAAAATGAAAACACTAATTTGAAAAGATATGTGTACCCCAGTGTTCACAGCAGTATTATTTACAACAGCCAAGGTATGGAAGCAACCTAAGTGTCCATCAGCAGATGAATGGATACAGTGGAATACTACTCAGCTGTAAAGAGTGAAATCTTGCCATTTGTAGGAATATGGATGGACTTGGAGGGTGTTATGCTTAGTGAAATAAATCAGACAGAGAAAGACAAATACTGTATAATACCACGTATATGTGGAATCTAAAAAATAAGACAAACTAGTAAATATAACAAAAAAGAAACAGACTCACAGATAAAACAAACTAATGGTTACCAATGGGGAGAGGGAAAAGGGGAGGAGCAAGATAGGGGTAGAGGATTAAGAGGTACAAACTACAATGTATAAAATAAAAAGCTAAAAAGATATATTGTACGGCAAAGGGAATATAGCCAATATGTTATAATAACAATAAGTGGAGTAAAAACCTTTAAAAATTGTGAATCCCTATATTGTACACTTGAAACTTATATAATATTGTAAATCAACTATACCTCAATTTAAAAAATAGAAACTACCAAACTGTTTTCCAGAGTGGCTGTGTAATTTCGCACTTCTTTCAACAGTGTGTGAGAAATCCAGTTACTTTCTATCCTTCCTAGTCCTTGGTATTGTCACTCTTTTTTGTATTAGTGGTTGCAGTAGGTCTATAGTACTATCTCATTTTGTTTCTTTAATGGCTAGTGATGTTAAATATATTCTCATGTGTTCATATGCTATCTATATATCCTTAGATAATAAATGTCTGTTCATGGCTTTTGTGCATTTTTTTCTATCTCTACTGGGGTGCAATGACAAATAAAACTATATATCTAAGGTATAAGACTTGATTTTTTATATACATATACATTATAAAATAATTGCCACAATCAAGCTAATTAACATATTCATCACCTGACATAGCTGCCCTTTTTTGGAGGGGGCGGCTGGGAGAGGGTGAGAACCCTTAAGATCCACCCTCTTGGCAAATTTCAAGTATACAATACAGTATTGTTAACTATGGTCACATTTGTGTATTGGACCTTCATAGCTCGTTCCATCTTGGATAATTGAACTTTATACCCCTTGACCAACATCTCCATGTTCCCTATCTCCCAGCCCCTGTAAACCAATATCCTACTCTCTGTTTCTATGAGTGTGACTGTTTTGAATTCCACTGAGATCACACAGTATTTGTCTCTCTGTGTCTGGCTTATTTCACTTAGCATAATGTCCTCTAGTTCTATCCATGTTGGGACAAATGTCAGGATTTCCTTCCTTTTTGTGGCTAAATAGTAGTCTACTGTGTATAGACATACCATTGTCTTCTTTAATCATTCATCTGCCAACAGACATTTTAGATTGTTTCCATATCTTGATTATTCTGACTAAGGCTAGGGTGAGCATGGAGTGCAGATACCTCTTTGAGATCCTGATTGCACTGCCTTTGGACTTACACCCGGAAGTGGGATTATGGGCCCATAAGGTAGTTCCATTTTTAGTGTTTTGAGGAAACTCTGTAGTTTTGCATAATGGGAGTACCAATTTACATTCCCACCAACAGTGTACAAGGATTCCTTTTTCTCCACATCCTTACCAACACTTATCTTTTGTCTCTTTGACAGTCATCCTCTGCAGGTGTGAAGTAATACCTCATTGTGGTTTTGATTCCCATTCCTCTGATGATTAGTGATGTTGAGCACATTTTCATACGCCCATTGGCCATTTGTATGGCTTCTTTTGAGAAAAGTCAACTTCAGTCCTTTGCCGACTTTTTATCTGGTTCTTTGCTTATTTGCTGTTGAGTTGTATGACTCCCTTATATTTTTTGGATATTTGCCCCTAATAGTTATTATGATGATTTGCAAATATTTTCTCCCATCCTGCCTTTTTCACTCTGTTGATTATTTCCTTTGCTGTTCAGAAGGTTTTCAGTTTGATGCAGTCTCACTTGTCTGTTTCTGCCTTTGTTGCCCATGTGTTTGGTGTCATATAACAACCATTGCCAAGACTGATGTCAAGGAGCTTTTTCCCCATGTTTTCTTTCAGGTCTTACATTTAAGTCGTTAATCAAATTTTGGTATAGAGTGTGAGACAAGAGTCCAGTTTCAGCTTCTACATGTGGCTGTCCAGTCCCCCCAGCACCATTTATTGAAGAGACTGTCCGTTCCTCATTTTGTGTTCTTAGCACCCTGTTGGAGACCAGTTGACTGTAGATGTGTGGGTATATTTCTGGGCTCCTTTATTACTCCATTGGTCTATAACTCTGTCTGCATGCCTTTACCATACTGTTTTCGTTACTATAACCTTATAATATATTTTGAAGTCAGGAAGTATGGTGCCTCCAGCATTGTTCTTTCTCAAGATTGCTTTGGCTATCCAAGGTCTTTTGTGTTTCATATGAATTTTAGGATAGTCTTTTCCTACTTCTGTAAAGATTGCCATTGGGATTTTGATAGGAATTGCATTGACTCTATAGATCACTTTGGATCATAGGGACATTTTAACATTAATTCTTCAGTTTGAAACTTGGGGTATATTTATTTACTTCCCTTCACTAGTAAGATTATTTCGTGTTGCTGTTTAATGTAGTTTCATTTCATTTTGAAAAACTCCCTTAATTAAGCATCTTATAAGGCAGGTCTAGTGGTTACAAACTCCACTGGTTTTTCTTTGTCTAGAAAAAGACTATTTCTTCTTCATTTGTAAAAGATAGTTTTGCCAGTTTTAGTATTCTAGGTTGGCAGGTTTTTTGTTTTGAATGTGTCACCCCTACTCTCTCTTATTCTGCAAGTTTCCTGCTGAGAAATCTAATAATCTTATGGGAATTCCCTTCTATGTGATGAGACATTTTCCTCTTGCTGCTTTCGAAATTCTCTCTGTGACTTTTGACAATTTGATAATGTGTTCCAATATACTTTACTTTAGATTAATCTTATTTGGGGTCCTTTGAGTTTCATGAATCTGGATGTTCATTTCCCTTTCAAGATTGGAGAACTTTTTAGCCACAATACCTTTTTTTTCTTTTTACTTTTTTATTGAAATATGTTTGAAATATAACATTGTACAAATTTAAGGTGTGCAACTTGTTAATTTGATACATTTATATATGATAATATGTTTGCTGTTGTAGTAATTAGCACGTCTATCATACTACATAATTACCCTTTCTTTTTAGTAGTTGAAATAGTTAAGTTATAGTCTCTTAGCAAGTTTGATGATTACAATTCAATATCGTTGTCTATGTTTACTCTACTTTGAATTATATCTCTAGGGCTTATTTAATACTCAATGCAAATTTGTGCCCTTAAACAGCATCTGTCGTGTTCCCTACCTCCCATTCCCTGGAAACTACAGCTTTAGT